ATGCTGCGAATTGCTTTGTTCTGTCAACTATGTCAGGGGTTGCCTTTGTTCTGTCAACTATGTCAGGGGTTGCCTTTGTTCTGTCAACTATGTCAGGGGTTGCCTTTGTTCTGTCAACTATGTCAGGGGTTGCCTTTGTTCTGTCAACTATGTCAGGGGTTGCCTTTGTTCTGTCAACTATGTCAGGGGTTGCCTTTGTTCTGTCAACTATGTCAGGGGTTGCCTTTGTTCTGTCAACTATGTCAGGGGTTGCCTTTGTTCTGTCAAGCATGTAATGGGTTGCCATGTTTATATTCATGATGTGTTGCCTTTGTCCTGTCAACCATGGATGGATTGCCTTTGTTCTGTTAACCATGGATGGATTGCCTTTGTTCTGTTAACCATGGATGGATTGCCTTTGTTTCTGTCAACCATGGAAGGATTGCCTTTGTTTCTGTCAACCACGGAAGGATTGCCTTTGTTCTGTCAAACATGGATGGATTGCCTTTGTTCTGTTATCCATGGAAGGATTGCCTTTGTTCTGTTAATCATGGATGGATTGCCTTTGTTCTGTCAACCATGACTGAAGGTCTTCTTACATAATTTTTTCGGCTTGTGTGGAAACTCCTTTTTGCCTTCATCAGAGGTGCTAGAGTGGGTTTTTTTTTCTCCACCAAGCAGTCCCAGAGATTGCTCCAGGGAACCTTATCATACACTTTTTCTAGATCTAAAAAACGTAGGTTCATCTCACTCTTATATTAAAACCCTTTTTCTTTCATCTGTCTGAGTGTGAAGATAAGGTCTTAAATACTTCAGTTTGCTCTGTAGCCGCATTATGCCTGATCTAGCTGTGACTTTGCCAGACTGTTACATCTTTGCTAGAAAATTCTACAGTACCTTTTGCCATTAATGCTGAGGAAAGATATGCCTATGTGGCTTTTTCACACTATCTGTTGTCACCTTTTAAAAATATGTAGGTATAATGATGGCAATCTCTCAGTCTTTTAGTATTGTTTGACTACACCAAACTGCATAGAGAAAACTTTACAAGAAGTCTCTCACCTGCGACTTCAATATATTTGACCATCTCTGGTGTTATACCATCATGACCTGCTGCTTTTCCAAGCTTAATTTTCTAAGTGGCTGCCTTCAATTCTACCATCCTGTTATCATCCGCATTGAGGATTTCCTTCTCAGTAGTGAGGTCCGCTATTTCAGGGTCATGACTCTCCTAAACACCAAGTAGCTCTGAGGTTTTCTTTCCATCTGTCCATGACGTTATTTGTGGTAGTTAGCAAACCCCTTCCTTGTCTTTTATTAATTTTAGCTGGCACTCTTTCTCCTTCCTCGTGTTCTTGAGGGTCTTGTAGAATAGTTTTTGATTTTCTGTTGCAATCTTTTTCAACTTTTCTCCTTTTTCTTTCATGGATTTCTGTTTTGCATTAAGCACCATATTTTTGGCCTCTGTTCTGAGTGCCACATATTGTTTATATTTCTTTTTTTTTTTCTTCAGCTGTGTTCCTGGCTGCCAGGTATTGGTTCTATGACTTTTTACTTTTATAATTTTTGTTCAGTTTGTCTTCTTCCGTCCATCAAGGTGTCCTCTGTCCCCTCCCTCCACCTAGGATTTTACTATTTGCTTCTACTACATTTGCTGTAATGATATTCTTAAATCTGCACGAGAGGTTTCCAATGTCTTCTGACGGGTCATCTTCAGTTCTGACATCTTTTAATGTAAGCTTGTGGTAGCTAGCCCTAATATCTGTCTATTATAGCTTGTATGCCTTAATCCTCATCCCTTCTCGGTCACTTGGTTTCTTGCATGGTTGTCGATGTTGCCTTGTTGTAGCAGTTCTTTCATCTGTTCTCTTTATTGTGACCAGATAGTGGTCACATGCAGTCTCTGGACCTCTCCTGATTTTCGCATCTCTCACAAACTTAAATGAACTTCTCCTGACTATGGGATAGTCAATGATAGATTTCTCATTCTTTGAAGGTTCATCTTGTGTACGCATTTATACGTTTGTGTAGGAATTTAGTGTTTGTAATGACAATTTTCTGCTCCTTACATGATTCCTGGCCACAACACAGCCAACACATCCTTTGGCTCACTCTCATAGGGAGAACCCTATAGAGCAGCAAACTTCCATTGTGATCTGTGATTCCATGTCCTTTTTTTTTTGTTTCCTGATTTCAGTCAGAGCCATAATTCCTAATTTAGATTTCCTCATCTTCCCCACTAACTTATAATCTTTACCATTTTGCCACATGTTCCATATTCCGTAAATGGTAGTCAGTAAGCCATGCCAATTCTGCGGTGTCAAGATCCGTAGGGTTTTCTCTATGTGGTAACGTGTAATTGTAGTTAAAGACAAACAGATGGTTGGCTGTTGTGCCTTTGTGTGGTGAAGGGGCTGCCTCTTTGCGGGATCCATTCAGGCCATCTAGCTGATTCAAGGTTAGCCACTACTTCTGGAGACACTTAAAGCATTCAGGTTCAGTCAGACCCTTCTCCTTTTAAAACCGGGCTTTGGACCAGTCGTAGTGAAGTTTTGAGTTTTACTTTCAACATGAATTTTTGACAGTGACTTTTGACATTTAACTTTTAAAGTCAACTTTTAACATTAACTTTTAAATTTAACTTTCAACTGTTACTTTTACCTTTAACTTTTAACTTATAAATTTAACTTTTAACTTTAACATTTAACTTTTAACTTCAACTTCTAACTTTAACTTTCACCTTTAACTTTTAACTTTAAATTTTAGCTTTAACTTTTACCTTTAACTTTTAACTTTTACTTCTAGCTTTAACATTTAACTTTAACTTTTAACGTTACTTTTAACTTTCAACTTTCACTTTAATTTTAACTTTAACTTTAAACATTAACTTTTAAGTTTAATTTTCAACTTTAACGTTTAATTTCAACTTTAAACTGTAACTGTAACTTTCAACTTTGGCATTTAACTTTAATTTTTAACTTCAACTTTTAATTTTAAGTTTTAACTTTACCTTTTAAGTCCAACTTTTAACTTCAACTTCTAGCTTAAACTTTTACCTTCAACTTTTAACCCCAACTTTTAGCTTCAATTAAAACTTCAACTGTTAGCTTTAACTTTTAACTTTAACTTTTAATTGTAACTTTTAACTTTACCTTTTAACTGACTTTTAACTTTGACCTTTAACTTTATCTCTCAATCTCAACTTTAACTCTTTCTCTTATCTTCAACTTTTTGCTGTTTATATTCAACTTTAACTTTTTACTTTTTATTTTTGACTTTAACTTTTAATGTAAACTTTAAACGTTAATTTTTAAATTCAACTTTAAATTACTTTTTAACTTCAACTTTCAGACTAAATTTGTACCTTTATTTTTCAACTTTACCTTTTAATTTTTTTTTAAAAACATTTAACTTTAAATTTAAATTTCAACTTGTAATTGTAAGTTGTTTTAACTTCACACTTTTAACCTTCAACTTAATAGCTTCCCTAACAGTCATCTTTATATTTCAACTTTTTAGCTATCTTAGACTTTTAACTTTAACTTTGACTAATAATTTAATCTTTTAACGGTACCTTTTCAATCCATGAGCTTTTAACGGTTTCCCTGATGATGATTTTAGACTTTACCTCTCAGGTTCTACGAAAATGTGAGTGATTCTAGTATTTTTATATTCTATCTTTTATAATTTTTAGCAAAATTAATTTCAGTTTAATTTAGAAAAAAAAAATACTTTTTTGTTTGTTACAGAAGTTGACTGTTGATGTTTAACGTGGAATCTTTTTCAGTTGTTATAGGAACAACTCACAAAGTTAGGCCCACTTTACCTCCCTTTTCACTGGGGTTCCAGCAAATTACCTTGTAGGCGTTGTTTTCATATGCTGCTTGCAGTCGTGAGACTTTCAAACTAAATTTGTAAGGTTGCGGTTTATTTTTAGTTAGGCATTCGCTTCATCTTGCTAGACTCTGCGAGGGACTAGTTAAACGTTGATCTGCCGGGCCATAAATTTAACTTTAAATCCAAATTTCGGCCTGCGTAATTGTAAGTTCTCCAATTCAGCAAAAACGGCAGCTCATCCTGATTGAGTTTACCGTCCCGTATGTCCCTAACAGTCATCTTTATATTTCGAGAAATACTTGATTTAGCACGGTCTGAGGAGAAACTATGCACAGTACGGGTTTTAACCTAAAGTGGAAACCAGCTCTCGTTTCCACTTCGTACTACAGCGTGGTTAAAGAACTAGGGTAACTGAACGGAAACTGGCATCCATGAAGGTAGCCGAAAGGGCCTCTAGCTGGTTTGGACGCAACGAACAACGTAGGGACGGGAAGACGGTGACCTGGACAGTGTTCTACGAAAATCCCTTGAGTCGTGTCGATTGTCTGCCATATCCTCAGCCACCTGCTAATAAAGTCCAAGTTAGTAAACCAATCGTAATTGTCGCTCGGTCGTCCAGGTATGCTGACTGCTTTAAAAAGGCTACTTCTTTTTTTTTTTTTTCTGCAAACAACCAAGTTCGACTTGTCTCTATGTTTAAGAAAAATCTTTCCTGTTGTTTTCATGGAACAGGGTACCAGCCCTCAGCTTCATGAACTCAGGTGTTACCTCCCTTGCTCCGAAGTCATGTCTAGGGAATCGTAGGCCGAAACACTTGTCGACGAGGCGTTGATTTTTACTGATGCAGACGTGGTAGCACCCCTGCTGTACTTGCTCCCTGTGAGTTTATTCCTACCTAGGGCTAGTTTTACATGATCTGGGGTCGTCGCAATTCTGGACTTTCACTAAGCGTGACACCCCTACAACATAGGACGTGCCCTACAACATGACAAGGGATGAATGAGGAAAGTTAATCTCACTCCTTTTGTGGGCCCGACTTCGTGAGTTGCACCAATTTTGTTCTAAAAAGAGAATTTAGTTTTCACATTAAAAAGTTATTTTTCATTTGGAATATTTGCTTTAATAAAACAAATTATTCGTAATTTTTATTTCAAGAAAGAGTTTTTCTTTCTCGCTTGCTTTTTTAAATATAAAATGTTTATGTTTGTCACAGAAAGTGATTTTAGATTTTATTGCAGAGATTTTGATTTGTGTTGCAAAAAGATATTTTGATAGTTGTCATAGAAACGTATTGTGATGTGTTTTTTTTTTTAAGACAAAAAAGTTTTAATTTTTGAAAATAGTTTTAAAAAGTTTTTATAAGTTTTTGCTGTAAAAAAGAATTGTGTTTTTCACTCTTAACATGTGATTTTAGTTGTGGTGATATTATATTTTTGTTTTCTACGTTTACTTCAACTAGAAAGGAAGTGCTGAAAGGCTAACCC